TTGTGTGACAGGGGATCGGAGGCACCGATGTGCCAGGAGAGGGCGGGCAGGAAAGGCGCCGCTGACAAGGACTCTCCTATTGTGCCAGCATCAGGGCAGGGCTGGCATCCAGCAGCGGGCCCGGGACGTGATGGGGAGAGAAAGGCGCCGAGGGCGGGGAGCATCTCCCCTTGTGGGGAGGCGCTGGGAGAATCGGGGCGAGGCTCCGGCCGGTGTATAGGCAGAAAGTGCTACTCTCCGTTTTTGCGACCGTTGTAGTTTTGCTCGCTGCACCGGCTCCTGTGCTGGGCGTGGGAAGGAGAAGTTGGAGAGGGAGGCTGAAGGAACCGGGAGCTGCGCTGCCTAGGCGTGGGGCGGGGGGGAGCGATGACTGGCAGCTGGGAGGAGAGACACCGCAAAGGAGAGGGCTGGCTGGAGAGAGACGGGCACTGGCGGGGATGCTGCAAGCGGAGAAAGACCCGCAGGGCGCGGCGGTGGGGGTGCAGGGCGGAGGGGCACGCCAGGCGTGCACTGAGGCTCCGGATGTGACAGACAGAGCCATGCGGCGGTGGGTGTTGGAGACAAAGTGCCGGGACTCAGAGAGGGTGTCCGGAGCCTCCTCGCAGGCTGGTGCAGACAGAGCCAGCCCGGATGCAAGGCAGCAGCGAGCCCTGCTTTGTGCTTTATCCAAAGAGTTCGGGAGTGGGTTCAGGGGTGGTCTGGGATCTGAAGGCAAAGAGAGGGTGGGAGTAGGTTTGTACATGGAGAACAGAGGCATTAGGCACCTGAAGGGAGGGGGGAGCGTCTGGGACCTCAAGGTGGGGACATTTTTATGTCTGCTGGGCCTCGAGGAAGAAGGAAGGAACCTTGTGTCCAGGACCGGAAAGCAGAGGAAGGGAGTTGTCTTGCATCTGGGGACCTAGGGAGTAATCTTTTCTCGATGGGACTCTCACGCAAAAGGAAGGAGCTGACTTGTGTCTGGGGACCTGCAGGCAGCGGAGGGAGTAGCCTTTGTGGCCTTTTGTGCACGTGGGAGGCGAAGCCAGGAGCAGTCTGGTGGCTAGGGACCTGCAGGCAGAGGGATCAGGGTCTGCATCTTTCCCTTCTGAGGCTTGGCAGCTTTTCCCGATCCGTTTGTTTGAGGAAGGGAAGATTCTTTCACAAAAGAAAAAAAAACCAAGAGAGCTTCGGATTTCTGAGACAACTGGACTTTTTTTTTTTAAATCCAGGATAGAGCGATTAATTCTCCCAAAGAGGGCATCGTTGCCCGAATAGTGGTATTTTTAAATGCACACACGTACACATAGATCAAGCACAGAAATTATATTCTCAAAAAACTTGGCACAGCGGGTAAAAATGTGCTCCTGACTCTTTATCCCTAGTATTTCTTTAGAAGTTGTGGTTTAAAAGATGTAATTTTAGTAACAGCACAAACTAGTGTTATCGAGGCATGTAAAATTTATCATTAAGGCACAAAGGCTGAAGTGAAGAGAGTCTGCCCCCCTCCTACCAAAGAAATAACCTTCCGTTTGCATTCACATTCATTTCTCTACTGGCTCATCAGAAAGTACAGCTGGTAGCCATAGACTTTAAGTGAAACTGACCAGATACACCCAGAAACCATAGCTCTGCTTTCTTTCACATCTAATTTGATAGCAGGCTGATTTTAAGCTTCCCATAGTTACAACTTTTCTTGATTTCTCCCTTTTCTCCCCCCATGCATTTATTGCTTGCATGTAATTAATTCCTTCTTTGCGTTTCCTTTCCTGTTAATCTTTGGGTGACTGCTTTGTACATATGGCAATCTGATAATGAGGGTGTTTATCCTTATTCTAAACTTCATCATTGCAGTGTCCACGCATTTACTAACTGGTGTATCGATCATCTTTCATGGGGAGGGTATGGCGAAAGGGAATAAAGGATTTGCAATATCCCCCACCGTTAGGAATAGTATTTACACCCTGGCATTATCTAATCAGCTGTTACATCTAGTCATGTTGTTTGAGGCAACCACATCAAAAGAATATACACTTCTTTTTTGTATACGTTACATATTCCCTGTATCTTGGCACACACAGAGAGAAAGAGAGAGAGAAGTTAGTTTAAAAAATAGTATCAAGCAGGTATGTAGCTGCTGTACAACTTGTTTCTTAAACTAAGTTGCTTCTCCATGAGAAGTTAAAAGGTAAATCTTTCCAGATTCCAAGTTTAACAATGGAAAAGGAAAATCGATGAAGTAGTAAAAATAATGAATACTTTTTAGGGTGAGGGGAATATCACAGGTTGAAATCGGTCTGTCAGTTTTAAAAGGGGTTCATTCAGCTTTAAAAAGTGTCTAAAGGAAAATTATGAACAGTTCTCTGAAAATTCTGCATTTCTGTTTGTTACAACTTCGGACAGAAAACTTTTTAGCACTTACAACTATATTAGTTTTGTAAAGTCCATTTTCACACAATTTAAGTTGATTGTAACTTAGTTATGCCGCAGACTGGAAAATTTCCATGTACTCCTTGTCCCACAAAGTTTATCTTTTAAAATAAAGTGGATTTTTTCCTGAGGAGAACTTCTGAATTATTTCAACATGTCGCTTAGGATTTTAAAGAACTCTTTCAAAAATTCTTTAAAGTTTCTAAATTCCTGGACAAAATATATTTTCTTTGGAGTAAAAGCAAATGAGCTCTTTACAGAAACAGAAGTGTTTGTTCATAGTGGGACTCTGCTTTTCTGTCTAACCTGCTTTATCAGCCCCATCTCTCTGCGATTTTGCTCGTCTCTCAACACCTTTGTCTGATTAGTCGCTTTTGGAGATCGGGATAAAGACATCACTTGCCACGCTGCATGAGATAACAATTAATTTAACATTAAACTTATCCCCTTTCCATTCACTTTACTTGGATCGATCTCTGGTAATTGTGTTTGCGGATGCTTTCAATACTATGCTTCTCTAAAAACTTAATGACACCCCACAAGAAAGTACAAGGGCTTAAAATGCACTTCTTAGAGTTAGACCAAAGAAACAAAGAATAGAGTCCCAACATGCTGAGGACATGAGCGTCTGCTCTCTTTCTCTCTCTCTCCTTCTCTCTCTCTCTCTCTCTCAGTTCACTGCTTGTTTCTTTCTTGCGGTACAATATTTTATTATTTTATGTTGATTTATAATAAAGTACCACTTAACATCTCTCTACACTGTAACTGCATCGTGTAAAAGTTATACATACAAACTTTATGGAACTACAGTTTTATATTTTAAAAAATACTTTTTTCCTCCTCCAAGTCAGACACTTACCTGTTGAAAAAGCAAACGTGTTGGAAAAGTTGTATTGCTTTCGTGCAATATTTCTTTTCACCGAAAAAGAAAGATATACCGAGACGGGTTAGTTTTCAAATGGCTAGTTATTTTGCCCCTCAAAGACTATATTTCAAAGTGGTTTGATTGACAACGCTGTATTGTATTTTATTTTATTATTTAAAACCGCCCTTAAAAACTTGAAATGCACTGAGGCAGCCAGCTAATATTTTTATTTCACAGACACATCTGTTACTCTTGCTGACAAATGTACCACTCTGCCAAGAAAGTTAAAAAAAAAACCCCAGCGTGTAATTGATGTTATCCCAAGAAAGCTCTATCTCCACCCCTTTCAGCTCCAAGCCCTTCAGGTAAAAGAAAAAAAATCTTTCAAGAATTTGTTGCCTTTTTGAGGGTTAATACATCAGAAGACAAGCTTGTCTCGCCTTGGCCAATCAGAACCCGGCTCTAGCAGCTATAATATAGAACTAAAGGCAGACTCCTCTCACAAGCGTCTCTAGCCTTGCTACCATTAAAATCAGACCCTTTTTGTCTCTCGATTGCTGTCTCACGACCAAACTCCGATGTGTTCCGTTATCAACGACCTAAAGCCTGCCATTCCAACACCTGTCTTGCTAGGGATCGGTGGATAGTATACGATTCCGAAAGCAGACAAGGACGTAGGAAGAGAGAGCTCTAGAGAGACAGCCAGGGATAGACACAGAGAGCTTTGAAGTAATTGGATTCCATGGACGAAATGCTGCTGTTGACGAGAATTCTGTTGGTGGGCTTCATCTGCGGTCTTTTGGTCTCCTCTGGGCTGACTTGTGGACCAGGCAGGGGTATTGGAAAAAGGAGACACCCCAAAAAACTGACCCCGTTAGCCTATAAGCAGTTTATTCCCAATGTGGCAGAGAAGACCCTAGGGGCCAGTGGAAGATATGAAGGGAAGATCTCAAGAAACTCCGAGAGATTTAAAGAACTCACCCCAAATTACAACCCTGACATTATTTTTAAGGATGAAGAGAACACTGGAGCTGACAGGCTGATGACTCAGGTAGAGCCACATAGATACATATATATATATTTTATTTCTTAGTATATCTGAGCAATCATGAATTAAAATCTCTGTCTTAGCATTTTTGAGACACCTTTTACCTCCCCTAAAAAAACGTCATCTGTTAGATTCATATGTAAATAGTCCAGTTAAGTTTGCAGCGCATATAGCCATAGATACATATGTGTTGGGGGCTTGTGTAATACTTACCATTATAACCTTGCCATGGCGTTCCTTGTAACTTGGTTAGAGATTTCTGTTTGCATTTGTCCCCAAGGCTGCACTTTGATCAAACGAATTGTATACAGCTAAGAGGACCCCAAGTGTCTACTGACCGCCAGCCTACTCTTTCATTATTACAAATGCAGCCCTCGGTTGGTACAGCTGCTGACTTTTTTATTTGTATTTTATTTTATTACCCTTCGTGATTGTTGTTTGCAAGCGGGTTCTAAATTTAATCCCTCTGGAGTCCTGCACTCCCCAAAGGCAGCTGAAGACCAATCGACCATTACTCTCCTGTTTCTGTATTTTATAGCTTGTATTGCAAAACCATCCTTTGCAATTGTGACCATCAGAGCGTAAATATATTGATATTTCTTTAAGGATGCTCGCCACCAATGCTCTGGTACTTCCAAATGGGAGGGACTTGCAACTTAATTAGCATTGCATCACTTCTGTTTTAAAAATCAGATGGCACAAGGTTTACAGCTGGGTAAATATTGGATCGGGAGTGGAATCAGAATGCGGAACCATTTTATGCAAAATAAATAAATAAATAAATAAACCCTCACAAACAGCCACATCATTGTAATTGTTATTATGGCTCACTGAGAGATAGGAGAGAGCAATTAATCTCCCACTTCAGGAGTTTTTGAAACTACATGGAATCTTGATGTCATCTAGACACTGGAAATGGGTTTCCTCCAAATATAGGTCAACAGCTTTTATTTCCCTTCCCACTTTTAATGTATTGTAAGTCCCACCTTCACTGCTATAATATAACTCGGCCGCAAGAATCACGTGTGTGTCGGGGCGGGGGGAGAGAATTTCCTAAAGTCTCCACTTTGCCTCGGCCTGATTTTCCGCACGTTTACTAGATTAATTTAGGTGCGGGACCTGTCTCCTCTCCAATCTCCGCCCGACCACCTTAAATCTGACTGTACCTATGAGTGTTGACGCGCGCGCCTCTGCCAGATAGAAGCGCGAGCCTCAATTAAATATGCACAGGCCCCGGTGCAGAGCGTGTTGTGTAGAGAGTTCCCAGTCCAATTCGAAAGCAGCTTTAATCTCGCCTTCTAACGCAAAAGAAAGGCAACGGAGAGGGGGTGGCTGGCGACTGTTGTGCAGGCATTGTAAGCTCCAGTCCAGTCCCTCTCTTATAGCCCTCGGTCATCCTCCCTTGCTGAAAAGATGCAAGACAGTGTTAGCTGTGCGCTAAGTCAGACACATCTCGCATTTTCAGCTCCACTTACTCCTCTTTTATCGATCGCAACGGCTAGGATTTCAGTTTGTATCCTTTTTAATACGGCAAATGCTGCTGCTGCTGCTGCTGCTAGGAAGCCCCAGGAAAAAAAAGACGTGCTTTTGTGTGTGTGCCTGTGTGTAATTACACACACACACACACACACATCAGACTCATGAAAGAGCAAATGAAGCTTAGGTGTAGAAGGGAGACGTAGATTGAAATACAGAGGGAAAGA